TGAACTGTAAAGACCAATCATTTCTCCATCCCAAACATGTGATGAGATGAAAAGCTAAGGGACATAAAAAAGGGAAGAAGGAATAATAGGAAATTTTAATATGGGAAAAGATTAATAGATAATAAGCATCTTATAATTCTCTTACATAGTTTTGTTGTGGAATTCTTAAACTGGAAGAAAAGTGTAAAGTAGTGATACGGGAACAGTACAAAATTTTGATTACTTAGTTGCACCCCTTGATCACCAAGGCACTTCAGAGTGAGCTAAGTAAAGTATTAAACAGACAGTACAGAGACTTGAAAAAGTGTTAATAAAAATAAAGAAATACACACCAGAGAAAAAACACAGAAGTATTTATGAATTACAAACGGCTCCAAAGTAACAGGAAAAGGATAAAATGTGCATAACGCATTGCTGCTGCAGAAAATAGACAAAGTGTGGGATCCATAAGGAATGTAAACGAGTGTCAACGTAGAAAATAGTCCCAAATATCCGTGACTTCTGCTCCCTGAGTGCCAAACTGGTCACTTCACTTAGAAGATGATGCTGCAGAATACGTCAGAAGAACAGCAAGAATAGGTAAGAGTATAGAAAAATCTTTACAAAGATTATTTACCTTGCAAAATAGTTGAATCAAAAGGTGGTAATAAACAATATAAAATAAAGAACAGATGGTTTATAGGTTTCTGCTGCCTTTGCCTCATAACACTAGGTGAGAATACTTAATTAAAGCCCAGCACATTAAGAGCTTCCAAGGAAGTATTTTTCCACAGAATAAATAATTGGACTCTATGGTCTATTTAGTCTATAGCATCAGTAAAACCAAGAAATCAGCAAAAATTTATTATATTAGACATTTTTGCAAGCATATCCACAATCTTAGTAATGAATGTTACTGGCTGGAAGATAAAGTCTCATTTCCAGCCAATTTCTAATTACCAAGAATTGCAGTAAGCTTTCCAGGACAGCAGATCTGCCTACTGCAGCTTCCTACCTCTCAAGATGATCACTTTCAGAAGATGCATATTCCGCAAAAAGTACTTGATTCAGCACCTAATTCAAAAAGCTGAAAGCAGAGGTCTACATTTTAGGTGCCCTGAATGACAAAGCTCCTACTGCAGCTAAGGGAGAGCTAGCTAATAATCAGTGGAGTCTATAATGAATTGAGCAATTACAGGAATCTACTTTAAAGAGCTATTAATCTTATCCCAGGCACCTAAATTTAGGGGTCTATAAACCCATGATTGAGTCCCACCCTGAAGTTAAGGTAAGCTGAATCCCTATCCGGAGTATCATCTGGTATGTTAATGTCCATATTCCTGGAGGGCACCTTCCCAAATGACAGTGAAATTATTTCTTCTGTTACTCTCAGAAGCAAATAGATAACAGAATTAATCTATGCAGGATTTTTAACTTTCTGAATATATATAGAGAGAGTAACAAATTTAGTGTCCATGACTTTGTGTAATTCTTAGTTGCACTAGAAGTTGGCCTAACCCAAATTGAATGTCTAAAGCCAGATAAATGAAATGATGCCTCAAAGTAAGTATTTCTACCCTACAATTATTATTTTCCACCACATATAGCACAAAAAAACACCAATAACTGAATTAAATGTTTCAAACATCAGTTTGGATGGATTAAATAAAGGTGCTGCCACACAATGCCTGTGCATTTTACATGAGACTCTAGGATAGATTTATAATAACCAATGTCATTTTACATATCCATGTGGCTCAGTGACTGAAAGGCAGTGTGGTTAACATCCACAGATTTTTTTCTTCATCAATGTGCACCAGTTCATCATCAAAAGCAAGGCAGAGGTAGAAACGTAAGGCAAAAGCTAATCTGTCAACATTTCCTTTTAAATCACAATTCATAATCACCTTTGTTGCCCTGAGGAACATAATTAATTTAATATGCCTGTTCAAGAATTATTTTAGTATTTAAATCCCCATTCCTATACCTATTAGAATAAAAGAACACAGCCAACGTTTCACGTGCCCATGCCTGCACTATTCAGTCTCAAGTCTTGTTTTGAGAACAATAAAGAGATTTTTGTAACTGCACTTGAGAGATCAACAAGCCATCTTCCATCCCTGCAAACGCATAAGGAATTACAGCTCTCACCAGAATTGGTCACTGCCCCATCTGCTTGTGTGCAGTAAGGATGGGAGACTGATTCATCGCCAAAGTCTTCCCAAAGAGGGAACACGCTATGCAACTACACTCGTCATGTCGTGCTGAGACAATGTAAACCACCCTCTGAGGCAGAAGCAAAGCATTGTGGAAAAAATGCTCAGCAGAGTACCCAACATCATTACGAGGCCTCAGTACCCCCCCCCCATGCCACTAAAAGGCACGCACAGGGTGAGCAAAATGCCCCTGGACTCCTGACGTGGCTGAAGGAGAGGGTGATGCTCATCTTTGATGGGCTGAATTTCCTTCCTGAACCTCCTCTCTCTTCCCATAGCCTTAGGAGACTGGTACCTAACAAACAACTAGGAAAATTCTGGCCTTGAGGATCTCAAATAAAGACTCTGGAGTCAAGGGACACATTTTTCTCTATTTAATAGTCTCTAGATATTTTCTCAGAACTACAAAATGCCTGTAATCTATTACAAGGCACCCTAGTGCAAGCTTGTGCACTAGGTACTATTTGCTAGAAATGAGTTGGTTCTTCACTGAAAAGTAGTATCAGCAATATAGAAAAAAAATAAATAGATGAGCAGGTTTCAGTTTAGCAGCTTCTCATTTTAATTAGCAAGTATTTATTTATCCCAACTTTCCCCTTAACCTCAACGTGTTTGCAGTAAGAAAGGAAAAGAAATCCTGGTGAACAAACACTGATATTTAATTACATAAAATATTCTGGAAGCATGCTCATTACAAATAAACTCAACCTTAAATCTGTGTGTTATGACTAATTTTAGGACTTGAGTTTTATCCAAAAAAATAGCATGGAAAATTTTGACACGCACACCTCTGTCTCTAAACAGACAAACTAGAAAGGGCAAAAGAAGGCAAAGCAGTAGCTTCTACAAGCTGGAGGTGGGAGTATGAGGGGAAGGGGGGGGATTTAAGTGAAATGTAAAAAAATAAATAAAGTAATTTTAATGTAAATTTTTAAAGGTGTGTTTTCCTGGAAAAATGGTCATTTGGTGTATATTCCATCTACATAACTTTGTGTTAAAAATATTCTCTATTTGGACAAAGGAACAAGAGGAGTGCATTAACTAGAGAAAGCTAAAGTTAAGGATTTAATTTTTGCTTTTTTAACACAGAGAATGCTACAGAGCACTTAGCACACAAAGGAAAAAAAAGTAATTTTAAGAAAGGCTGGATTATCTCTTTTAAGATGGAAAGGGAAAAAAAAGGCAAAAGGAAATGTTTCTTTTTATTTATAAGGAGTATTGCTGGAAAGCTAACCATCCCCACCCCCCACCCCTGACTCCAAACCAGCGCAGGCAAGGCCAGAGCTGTCTTACTTCACTGAGCTGTGTTGCTGGGAGACTGGGTTAGGCAAACACAAAGAAGGAAGCCAAAAGATTAAGCGAGATGACGACTATTACTGTATTTCACAGTCAAATCAGATGACACTTCAATCCAGGAGAGCTATAAATCCAAATAATTTTTCAAAATTAATTTGGAGACTCCTTAGAGAAAACACTATTCGCCCTAAATTACCCAGGACATGAAAATAAATAGTGTCTCCAAAGCTGTTAAAGCTGTAGCCCCTGAGATTTCATTTTTTTCACTACCATCTTCCTGAGAAATCTCAATACTAGACACAAAACATGCATTTGGTGAAGAATGAGATACTGAGTGGGCCTAAAGGATTATAAAGGATACCAAAACACCAAACATTGTAAGAAACAAGAAAAGAAACAAACAAACAAAACCCCCACCACCCCAAAACATGCCACTTTTCTTCCCCACACAAAATTACACCAAGATCACAGAACCACAGAATATCTCAAGACCCATGAAGATCATCAAGTCCAACTCCTTGCTCCTCACAGGACCACCTAAAACATTGGTAACATGAACCACACGTGAAATTAAAATCCTCAGGAAAAAGGAAATTCAACATTTTAATAGAGAATAACAGGATTTACAGGTTAAGAAAAATGATGCCATTGCAGTCAGTGGGAGAACTCAAGACCTTTGGAACACAACTTTACCCACAATCTTTCTCATAGCTACTTTTCATTCCAAAAGTATACTTTTCCAGAAGTTAAGAATCAGCAGAGGAACTGTGTCAGACATTATCACTTAGTTTCAACAAACCAGTTGGACAATAAATGGCAAGATCTGTGTATAAAACACACTTGTGAACTTACAGAAACGGATTTATGAAGTCTTTGTTTCTGGAGGCGTTCAAAAGACGTCTAGATGTGGTGCTTAGGGACATGGTTTAGTGGTGGGCTTGGTAGTGTTAGGATAGTGGTGGGACCTGATGATCTTAAAGGTCTTTACCAACCAAAATGATTCTATGATTCTTATACCAGTATCAGAATCAAGACATGACTGTGAAGACATACAGGGATATGACCGGCAATAATAATAATTAAAAAAAACTCTTCAATATGACAGAAAACCAAAAATGTTATTAAAAGAAATGCAAACAGTAACACAACTACATTTGAATTAATTCAGCACATCACCTGAAAGACAAACTACAGCACAAAACCAAGCTGTACTAATAAGTACTAACGAAATACTAATACTGAATCTTGCTAAATTTTTAATGCCTTGTATCATCATCTTTTGAAGCAAATGTTATCGAACATTCTCATTTCTGCTAAAAAAAAATCACAGAGACAAAATTATCAGTAGCTGATGTGATATTGTTCTGATGCGTTATAACATTTTCCAATAAAGGAAAAGAGGCAATTCCTCCAAATAGAGGAAAATAAGAAGCAATTAAGACAATTCTTGATTTTCTTACTAACAGTCTATTCAAAGCTTTCAAGACGAGTATTATAATGGTTCCATACCGTGAAGCTGTTGTTGACATTTTTTGTGCTTGATTCAGCTACGCTGGCATCTGACAGGTCAACTTCATCAAATATTAGTGACTGTGAATGAGAAAGAGCATAAAAACATTAAATATAGTCCACTTTCAGGTATGCTTACAGTCTGTGCTTTCATTTCCTTGTGTCCACTCCAACGGGAAAATAAAAATAGAAAAAAAAAGTGGTGAAAAAATAGAAAACACGGATGACGTGATAAAGCTGCCTCTTTGACTCCTAAACATAGTCCTATTTGCTATGTAATGGCACATGACAGCACAAAAAAAGTGGCTCCAAAAATATACATTGCTTTAAAATCTCTTTTAAAGCATTTCTTTTAAAATAGATGTGGCTTTGGGGTGTCTACTGGGTAGCATAAATGTGGTGTCAGAGGAAAGAGATTCACACTTAGTAAAATGTAAATTAATTAATCAATTTTAGGATGGAAATCTAAATTCATGAAGGGGAATCTATGATATGGTATCCATAAGACAAAACAGAGCTCAAGGGTCTGAAGAAATCCCTTGCACTCCTTTGTTTGATGTTCCAGCAAGAGAAATATATGTCTTCTTTAAACACCACAGCCGCTAGCAAAGGATTAATTAGGTTCTGTTAGACTCACGATGGGTTTTGAAGCACAGAAGGGAAGACCAACAAAAATGCTTCCCCCTTTTTTGTTAGCCATACCACGTTCTTCCTTTTCCACGGGAAGCAGAATTGATGTTGAGGGAGTTTCAGCATGTCTGGATCCAATGTTACAGAGTATATAATGAGAGTTACTCATTATAGCTCCTTTTCTCACTTTTACAGCACAGGTGATGTTGCCATTCTCAGAGCTCTTATCTGCCACGTTTATTAAGTCTTTATACGAACTGCTTGTGGTAGCACCATATGCAGAAAAGTGTGACAACAGAAGTACTTCAGTGCTGCACTCCCTGGAGAGACAATGTTTTCCTTGATCCATCACATCCACACAACTCTGCACCACGCAACTATAGCCATACAGTCCTAGAAAGAGAGGTCTCCGTGCCTTAGTAATAGTTTTATTGAGAAGACCAGGCTGTCGAAGATGACAGAGACCTGAAGTACCTCACCTACAGCTCCCATGAGCTACTGCAGCCTTGCAGGTTAAAGAAAAATAATGCCCACTGCTATGGAACAGCACAATCAGAGCCAGCCCAACAAGCCAAAATGCTCCCAGTCCCAGCCCTGAGGGGGAGGGAGGAAATGCTCTTTGGAAGGAGACAATTATTCCCCTCTGCCAACCCCCAATCTTCCCACCAAAAATTTCAATTGATGGGAAACAGCTTTTTCCCTTATGCATTAGTTTCAGCAGAAAATATTCCTATCTTGATTTCACGTGATGGTTTCCACCTCTTTAATGGCAATATGGGCATTAGACTAGAAGCGTTTTAATGGAATTCAGTTTGAGGGATAACTTCTGAGCATTATCTGATTTTTACTTTTTTTTAAAAAAAAATGTTTATATTTGACTGCCTGAGAGCCACCCCCCAAAAAAAACCCACAACTCCTTAAGATGAATTTATTATTTATCTGAATCACCAAAAGGTTAAAATAACTGTGATATGCTTCATGAAAAAAAAAATCAAGAGAAATCACCAGGCTTCCTTAGTTAAAGTTAATTTAACACACTACAACTTACATACAGCAGTTTTTTAATAAAACAATCAGTAACAAATCATTAAATTATTATTATTGTTGTTGTTGTTATTATTATTATTGCACTTATAAATCTGAACAAAATTGAAGTTAAAAGTATAGGGCATGAGACACTAATAGCACAGAATTACCTTTGAATCTTTAGCATAGTAAAGGGTACGACCTCGAAGTTTGAAGTAACGCTTTTTCCACCTCTGAAAAGAACTGGTTTGCTTCAGTAGTAATCCTTCTTTTATACTTGTCTGAAAAATATTAAAACACAGAAGGCAAGCTAAATACATATCTAAATAGCTACGCATATAATGAAAGTTACACTTTTTAAAATTTATGTTACACCTCATATAACTGTGAATTTGAATTTGTATCTATTCACATCCAATTTAGAGTAATTCTCTGGACAACCAGACTTTGCACTGGTATTTTTTAAACAATGACAATGTTGGCAAAATGCTAATTTTACACATAAACTGAAAAGGCATTCGAGAGGCATGTAATTATTGTGAAGATGAACACAAAATAATTCAACTGTCTGCATAGCTGCAAATCCACAAATATTGAAGTGAGCAACAACTGATGATGGCACAATTTAGAAAAAAAAAATTACAAAAACCATCTACACAAGGTCATTTCCAGTTCCAAATTTGATTATGTTGAGGAGAAAAACAATTTCCACATAGGCACTATTTCAACAAGGTACTTAAACGTGTGTCTGATTCAAGTACACGAATTATGCCTTTAAAAGAGAGGGAATGATCAGGTATGATGCAAGTCATGCATGATTTCAAGTGCATTGCTGAACTGAACCCATTCAGCATGAAATCGGCTTACCATTAGGAATAATTATTATATGGAAAGTGTGAGAACAGCAACAACTAGGGATATTTTTACCAGGCAAATATTTTTAGTCAAAAAATGATTCACCGATCCAAACCTTTCCACTGCAGACTGAACCCTGCCTACATGAAGCCCATTTTTTTAAATGACTAAGCCACAAATTAGTATATTTTAAACATGTATGCTGCTTTCGGCAGCATGTGTGGGATTCATCCAACCGATTACAGAAATTGTCCACTTAATCAGATGAAATGAGATGACACAGCATACTAATTGCTTGAGTCTCGAAATTAATTTTCTTCAGCTTTGAAGCACACAAATGGTATGAGAAAAAGCAAGTACATTTGGATATTATATTCCAAAATGGTCTCTGGGAATATTTCCAATTTGTACTGTAATAAGGTGAAGCAAATCTTAGAATACAATTTCTAGACAATGTGACATAAACATCATTTGAAGTTATTCTAGATATTTTAGAGACTTAACCAACACCTAACCTGAAGTTCATAAACATCTTCTGTTATCAGATGTCAAATACTCCTTAAGTTTAACGCTTATAATAAAGATTCAGAAAAAGCAGAAAGCACTTTAATGTTCCTACTATTTCCTTGAAATGAGAAACATCGCTGTTACGTACGTACATCGCACTCTTCATTTAGACACTCCTAACGTCACAAACTAAGAATATGGTCCAACGATCACAAAGCAATTGAATTAATGCGCTCAAAAAAGCAACCCTCTCAGATGAAACATCATAGCTGAAAGTTTGGATTTCTCTCACTTTACTTCACATGCCAACAACCTGGACTGAAGCATCTGGTCAGCCCTCTTGCTTTAGCTGAGGGGTAGCAATTTCCAGCTGAAAGGGTCTGCTCACCACACACCATTTTAAGATTGCTTGCAATTTTTTGGCCAGACCCTAAGATAAGCTAGTTTTGTACAATATAAATAGATATAACCAGTTAGAAAATACAAGCACTTATTCAAGCACTTCTGTTTCATATTGCTTTCTGAGATTTCAGAAGCTCATCACACGGGATGGCAGTAAATGACCTGTGTGTTTATCAAGGGTCCGAAGATGTTAAGACCAGAGAAAATCAGTTCCAAGGAAACAGTACGCCACATACACAGCAGGCAGCTGATTTACTGGAAAAATTTCCAAAAAGAAAGGAAAACCATGTGCCCTAAAACGTATTATGTGTACTAGGTGACACAGAGCATACATTATACTGAATAATTTCAGGAATTTTAAAATCTGTTCAAAGAACATAAATCTCCCTAAACCTTGAGATATTACTCACTAAAGAATTAATTAACTCTTTCATGTCATTTTTATGCCTACATAAGCCATTTCCGCCTATTTCTACTCACCCCTTAAACACAAGTATCCGTAAAATCAAACCAATAACTTCAAAATTAAATCTATTTTGCAAGTCAGCCATTTAAAATTAGCTCCCTAAAATTGGCAGTAAATAACCATGCAGGCTTTACAGAATGTATTTTTGTATCGAAACATTAACATAGACTGGTAAACATTTATCCAAGAAATGTAAGCACCACGAAGTATACATCTGAAGTTTACATTTTACCACCAATAGATACAATGGGCTGAGGTTTGAGGATCCTAAATAGACAATTCCATGGCTGTGGCCATCAAAACTGAGCATAAAGCTTTGGCCCAATATCCTTAATTAACTTCATTTAGCTGTTAAAATGTGCAAAAATCTTCCAGCTGCCAACTGAGTCGTTAGGTAATCTGCTAATAATGCTTTCCTGAACCTACACACAAGTCACAGCACTTACAGCAATTTGAGATTGGAAGGGACCTCCCAGGTTGTTAAACTGGAGTCTACACTATTGCCTACAACCAGGTCATGTAAAGCTTTTCAAATGCATTGATCAGGCTATAGCTACACCTTAAGAAAGCAATCGGCACCTTTTCCTCTCCCAACGGCAATTAAGACAGTGCTCCAAGATCTCCCTGTTCCGAGAAACCTTCTTCTAATTAATCTCAACATGACATTAAATCTGAAGCATAAGCAATAATCACTGCCAGTTATACTAACTACTTTCCTACTGTAATTTAGGAGAAACAAGAAGTGCACATCCCATAATCCCACTCTACTTCTCACTTCTACAGAATTACCTCTCATCTGCTTGCCAAAACCTCTGACTTCCCTAAACAGCATCTTGTATCATCTAGTAATACAACACCCCTCCAGAAGTATGGGACTATAATAAGAACAAACAGAACAGAACAGAACAGAACAGAACAGAACAGAATAGAATAGAATAGAATAGAATAGAATAGAATAGAATAGAATAGAATAGAATAGAATCACTAACAATTTTTATTACTTTAGTCGTTAAAAATTAAGAAAATTATTCATGATATTACAGTCACAACATCACAATGCTCCACAGTGCTCTATTTCCCTGAAGAAATCTAATCATAAAAATCGTAGCTACATTTCATAAAATTAAGGAGTACACGTGTTCAATTATCTAAGAATGTTGAACGCAACTCTGTATCACCATAATCTAAATGACAAAAATAAATGGCATTTGTGAGTATTTTGATCACCACAAAATGAGAGGCATCTTCTTTTATATCAGCAGATTTTGAAATATTCAGTATATAACACTGAAAATTCAAAACTAACAGTTTTAATTTCAAAGACAACCAACCACACTGCCGTACCTCTAATTCACTCAGTTTGCAAAGTTTCACATTTCAATAAAAGTCAATTTTTTTTACTTCTGCTGCTGCTAGAAAGACTCAAATAAAGGAGAAAATATTCTGAATTTAGAAAAGAAAACGGTAAACTGACTATAAATGCATTATTGGCAACTGCAAACTAAAACATTGGATTATTAAAGATCAGACTCTCCCTCTACTCCTTTACAGGTATATAAGCGAATGTGCTGCTCAAAGTGTGTCAGGAGAGTGAAGAAAAGAACATCAGGAAATTTCTGAAAGTGAGGAGAATGAAAATGAGAACAGGAAAGGCCATAAAACAGGGCACATTAAATATAAACAGGAAATTAAGAGGATGAAGAAGAATTTTAAGATCACCTTGCAACAGATGCTCACTTTGAGACTAAAATGTTCCTTAAATTGAAAGATGAAAGACAGCTAGGGGGTTGGCGGGATCATTTTTCAACAGAGATATGAAAAGGGTACTCAAGGATGAGAATATCACAGCAAAGAAGCTCATCAAATTCTTGGCATCTGTCTTTACCAATGAAGATAATGAGACGGTATCTCACACAACACATTCTTCGTAACATCAGAACAGCTACATCAACATGAAGCACGTATACAGGAAGTACTACATCAGCCAAATCACTAAGTCATGTGGACCAGATGGCATTGACCTGAGAGCACTGAAGGTCCTGAAAGGACCACTGATATTAACTTCCAGTCCTGGTAAGACATTATAGTCCATGCAAAAGAATAACACTGCTGAGCCCACACACATCCAATGGCAAAAAACAAAGAGAACTTTTGTAAAGGAAAATACTGCCTTGCTGCCTGAGGGAGTTCAGCGGGTGGAGAAGAAAGCATGTGGATAAATGAAGATTCAGTGGACTTGATTTTCAGAAAGCCTTTGACAAGGCTTCCCACCAAAGACTACTGAAGAAATTAAGTTAGAATAGAATTGGAAAAAGGTAGGGTTTTTTTGTGGATTGAAAGCTGCTCATGGGATAGGAAGCTCAAGTAGGGCTTAACAGTCTCTCTCTTCTGCATTCACAAGGAATCAGGTTTATTCAAACTCAGTGACCTAAAGAAGGATCATACAATGAAATCTTCAGATTTGCAGAGGACATTAAGCTTTTTTGAGTACTCAAATTCCATGCCAATGGTGAGGAATTCAAAGGATGTTAAAAAACTGAGCCAAAGGGCAAAGGGGCAGAAGACAACGTTCAGCCCAGGTCAATGTAAGATGCTCTGCTTCAGGGAAAAAAATCTAAACCTCACTAACATTCTCACATCGACTTTGAGTGGAGAAGAGATCTGGGAGTCACAGTTCACAGCTCTGTCCACAACCACAGCCAGAAAAGCCATAAAATTTTGGCTGTCACCAAGAAAAACAAAATCAAGACAGAGGATGTCATTTTGCTGCTATATAAAATGCTGCTGTACCAGACCATTCTGGTCTCTCCAACTCAAGAACAGGGTTAGGAGAAGGTGAAGAGAATGGCAACTCAAATGACTCAGGATGCAGCAGCTGCCTTACAAAGAGAGAATTAAAAAGCTGGAACTCTTCAGTTTGAAGAGCAGAAGACAGAGGGGTAATATGATCGAAGTTTATGAAAGCATTAAAGCAGAGTATCGTGAATGCAGAGCTATTGCTCACCAAATCCCACAATATTATAACACGGAGGAATGTGATTAAACTATATT